CCTGGCATTTACAACCCCGTTTTTGTTTACAAAACAAAATCAAAAATGGGGCCCAAGTCACCCCAGTTGATGGTAATTAATGTTTATGGTAATATCAATAAAGGAAAAACAAGTAAAAATCACTGAAAATGTCATTTATTCTACCTCTACATCATCTACAATGAAAGAGGAGGACTTCAGAGTAGGTACTGCTAGTAATGGATGAGTACACTCTGCATGCTTCAAACATTTTAAAATGAAGTTTTATTTCAAGTGTCCCAAGTAGCCCCGTTTGACGGGGCTACTCGGGACACTCTTTTTTTTTGCTTCAGGCACCTTAGGAATAGCATATGGAATTTTTTGACAATGCCATTCGATAGCCCTCGCAAAGAGCTATAAAATGAGCCTAAACTTGTTTATGAAATGTTTCATCGTAAGAAGTTATTAACAAAAAATGCTCGAAACTGTCCCGAGTAGCCCTGGTTGACGGTTCTATGCACAATTTTGTGATGACTGATGCAGTAATTTTTTATTAAGTGAAATTTTTTTCACTGAGCGAGGTAAATGTAATAAAAATTCTTTGTTATTAATTGATGTTTTCATTAACTGGAGCCTTTGCTAACCAAGGTTCTACTGTAAATACAATTTTAGGGGTGTCCCTTATTACCCGTGGGGGTGTTCCTTATTACCCTGTTTTGCGGAAATGGCCACCATTTTTTCTTGGAATGAGATATGCAAATTCTGTCAATCACGTTTTTAAGCCAACACTAGTGTGCAACTTTTATGTAAGTAAAATTTTTCAATACGACAAATATTTTTTCTGCTACAGACTTTAGCAGAGGTACTTTTCCAAAATCTCACTTTTCACACTTTTTTTCAGGGATTTTTTAGAGGTAATAATTGTATGATTTCTCAACTTGCCTTATGCTGCATAGATAGTAAAAATGTTGAACTTTACACCACTATTTTTAGTTTTGCAATATTTTAATTAGTTTAGCTGCTACAACATTTCTACAAAATGTTGGAGGACTGTCCCTTTTCACCCCGTTTGACGGTATCTTGCTTCCGTAGGTTACAAAAATGCTAACAATGACTGACAAAATTACAACTTTCTTTTGTAGGTTACAGAGGCATAGGGCATAGGCTACTGGTATGACTTGAACTGAAGGACACTTCACTTCTTTGTTCATATTTTAAGCTTCACGCCACTGCTGCTAAAGACATAAGAACTGCATATCTCAAGATAAATATTTATTTACAATGTAGAATGAAAATATTTACAAATATTTCAATAAAAAATAGTCACTTCCCAATATCCAGGAAATGGATGTTACCCCACCATGTTTGCCCAGGCTCAAATGCAACTAAACCAGGGTGCAGAGGGTGCAAGCAGTGTTGTTAATATAGTCAGATGGGGTAAGACAGGACCAAAATCACTAACAGGCATGTAGCATCTATACCATGAATAACTAAAAAATCCTAAACTTATCACAAGTTGTGGTTATGCAATGGGCTTCAAAGCTACAACTCAGACTTTTTGCATACAACACAGTTTTCTGTACAGATTAAAAAAAGCGAGCTGGTCCCATCTTACCCCATTGGGGTAAGATGGGACCAGGCTGGGGTAAGAAAGGACCAACAGGTAATTCTTATGTTACAAGGTTTTTAGTAAAAAGATAAATCTGATATTCAATATTATCCAGCTAGAAACACATTATTTGATTAAACAACCACTTGTTACTGTTTTGTGTTGCAGGAAGTCAACTCTAATATCAGTCACATTGGAGCTTTTGCCACGAGAAAACTTTGTTAAGCATAGAAATAGTAGGTTGGCTTTGATTCATTGTAGAGCACTGACAAATACTACATGTATATTCCATTAGTGTCATTGTCTGAAAATTTATCAAATTGGTAATAAAACCAATGGCTAATAGGTAACTTAAGAGTTGGACGTCATGTGTTTTCTTGCTAACTGCATTTGTGGTGCACTTCTTCAAACATAGCCCATGCCCTCTCACAAAATTGTGATAATAATTATTTTTTATGTTTCACACAACAATTTTTCCCCCAACCACTCTTGCACATTGTTCTGCAGCTCACTAATAGGAAGAGACATCTCTATTTTCTCCATCCTCATGATGCAATTCACAATAGTAACTCTGCAAAAAAATTCACTTATCAAAAAATTAGTGCATCAACCGTAGTCACAAAATTGTACATAGAATGCTATATATAAAATTGTGCACCAGGCATCATAGAATGGAAAGTAATTGACTTAAACTATGATTTATTTCTCCAAAATATATGATGGTTGTCACTAAAACATTATTTTCTGTTTCAGGTATGTTTTTCACAATCTTTTTGTTATAGTGAAATCACTAGACTCGATTAAAATTGTGCAAAATTACAAACCATTCCGTAAGCTTACAGATACAGAAGAAATGCTACATGGCTGCTGATATGAAGCTTGCAGTGGGCAAGGTTGTTGTAAAATCTCAATGGAATGTCCATGGATACAGTAATATCACATTAATAATACGGTAATTAATGAATATGGTAATATAATATCAATAAAGGAAAAACAAGTAAAAATTGCAGAAAATGTCATTTATTTTACATCTACATCATCTACAATAAAAGAGGAGGACTTCAGAGTACTGTTAGTAATGGATGAGTACACTCTGCATGCTTCAAACGTTTTAAAATTAACTTTTATTGCAAGTGTCCCAGATTACCCTGGTCCCAGGGGTAAATCAGGACGGTTTTATTTTGCATCTGGCACCTTACAAATAGCATATGGAATTTTTTTGAAGATGCCATTGAATAGCCCTCGCAAAGAGCTATAAAATGAGTGTAAAGTTGTTTCTGAAATGTTTCACGGTAAGAAGTTATTAACAAAAAACACTCAAAACCATCCCTTTTTTGCCCGTTTGACGGTACATAATAAGAGAGCTATTTTTAATTTTTCAATGTTAACAGCATTGAAATCTATGCGGACAGATAATTTTAAATCTTTTTAGCCATTTAATGACTTAAAACCTGACTTCAATGAGTATTTTATTCCAAAAAATTTCAAATTTCTTGTCCATTGATTCCTTGAACTGTTATTGTTGTTGTTGGCCAATGCTATCTTTTGTTTATTTAGTAGGCACTAGGTGGTTATGTCTCCGGAGAGGTGGTGTTAGTGTGCTGTGGACCAGACACCTGCATCGGGTTATCTGTAAACATTGTGGACCAGTCTGAGGTCACATGCCACAAGGCATAAATCAATTATTTTTAGAAGCATTTTGTGGGCCTTCAAGACTTGAAATATGCTCCACTTTTTAGTAAATTTTATAAAATTGGATAATTAATACTTCTAATTTTTAAATATCAGCAAATATAATTATAGAACTGTAATTTCATTCAATAATAATTTTCACAGTTGTGTGCTGTGTTTATAAATTTTCTAGCTAGTGTGTTATGGACTGGTCCATTAACATTGATGCTCAGTTAAAAATCTAAAAATACTACCGTCAAACGGGGTAAAAAGGGACGCGCATCCCACATTATTCAATATTAATTTTCACAGTTGTGTGCTGTGTTTATAAATTTTCTAGCTAGTGTGTTATGGACTGGTCCGTTAACATTGATGCTCAGTTAAAAATCTAAAAATACTACCGTCAAACGGGGTAAAAAGGGACGCGCATCCCACATTTTGTAGAAATGTTGTAGCAGCTAAACTAATCAAAATATTGCAAAACTAAAAATAGTAGTGTAAACTTCAACATTTTCACTATCTATTATGTATAAAGCTAGTCAAGAAATCAAACATTTACTATCTCTAAAAAATCGCTGAAAAAAAGTGTAAAAGGTGTAATTTTGGAAAAGTACCTCTGCTAAGGTCTGGAGCAAAAAAATATTTGCCGTATTAAAAAATTTCACTTACATAAAAGTTGCACCCAGGTTTAGGCTTGAAAACGTAATTGACGGAATTGTTCTATCTCATTCCAAAAAAATGGCAGCCATTTCCGCACGGCGGGGCAACTCGGGACACCCCCTGGGGTAATTAGAGACACCCTTAAAAATGCATTTACAGTAGAACCTCAGTTAGCAAAGGCTCCAGTTAACAAAAAATTTATTAACAACAAAGAATTTTGATTACATTTACCTCGCTCAGCGAAAAAAATTCACTTATCCAAAAATTAGTGCATCATCGGTCATCACAAAATTGTGCATAGAATGCTATATATAGAATCGTGCACTGGTAATATGGTAATATAATATCAATAAAGGAAAAACAAGTAAAAATCACAGAAAAGGTCATTTCTTTTACATCTACATCATCTACAATGAAAGAGGAGGACTTCAAGGTACTGTTAGTAATGGATGAGTACACTCTGCATGCTTCAAATGTTTTAAAATTAACTTTTATTGTTCGCAGGGGTAAAGTAATTTTGCTTCCAGGGGTAATTTGGGACTGCTTTATTTCGTGTCAGGCACCTTACAAGTAGCATATGGAATTTTTTGAAGATGCCATTCAATTGCCCTCCCAAAAAGCTATAAAATGAGCCTAAACTTGTTTATGAAATGTTTCATGGGAAGAAGTTATTAAAAAAAATGCTCATAACCATCCCTTATTACCCCGTTTGATGGTATGTAATACAAAAATAATTGTTGGCTGTATCTAAGTTAAGTACTACTAAGATATTACTCTATCACATCATTTTATATGCTCAACAGACCAGTAATATGTTTCCATATAGTATTTAATATGATTGCATATACATAATATGAAAATAATTTTTTGCTGTATCAAAGTTAAATTAGATATCACTTTATTGCATCATCCTATATGCCCAACAGATCAGTAATATGTTTCCATATATTTAATAAGATAGAATATATGTAATTAATGTAAAATTAATTGTAGGCTGTAAAAAAATATATTGTTGGCCGTAAAAAAATTATCATTTTTGTTTAATAAATTTATGTAATAAGAAATTACTTTATTGCACTATTTTTTATGCCCAACAGACAGTAATATATCTCCCTATAATTAATAAGATGGAATATAAGATAAAAGAATGCAGAGTTGTGCTGCACAAGCTCCCTGCTGCTGCGGCCAGGAGAGGCTGGTGGGCGGAGCAGAGCCGCACTCCAGCCGCCGCTGAGGCTGGTAGAGGCAAGGCAGAAGGTAAGCTGCTACAGTAATTATTATAATAATTATAATAGCAATAGTAATAATAATATAATGAATATTGATAGTCATAGCTATAGTAATAGTATTAATAAAATAATAAGTTATAGCAGTAATAAAAAGAGAGTAAAGCATATAAGCAACATTCAATAAAATGAAAGGACAATTCCATGCAATATTGTATTGCTTACTAATATTTCTTTGCTTTGAAGCTCTTCTGTGAAATGATATTCATTTCCGTAGCAATAAATAAACAATTTTCTTGTTTCCAGTTGGCGCCTCACCAGCGGACGACCAAATTCCTCTAAAAAAAATCAAACTTGAACCCAACTTAGAGGAAGTTTATATTAAAGTGGAGGCTGTCATGCATGATGAGCTTGGAGATGACATGATTTTAGTCAAATGTGATAATGATAGTGACATGATGATGGCAGTCAAACATGAAGGCGATCAGGACAACATGATTATGGTCAAACATGATGGCGAGCAGCATAACATGATGACTGTCAAACATGATGGTGGTCATGACAACATGATTATGGTGGACAACATCAAGCTGGAGGTGGAGGCTGATGGTGTATCAGTCAAACATGAACCAATGTCCCAGGATGAGGTAAGTGACATGTGCTGGTAGGTAACATGTGCTGGTAGGTAACATGTGCTGATAGGTAACATGTGCTGGTAGGTAACATGTGCTGGTAGGTAACATGTGCTGGTAGGTAACATGTACTGGTAGGTAACATGTACTGGTAGGTAACATGTGCTGGTAGGTAAATCACCTCCTCCCAGCAATCCTGCATCACCTCCTCTCAACATTCCGCCCAACTCTCCTCCATCACCTCTGCCCAACACTCCCCCATCACCCCCGCCCAACTCTCCCCCATCACCCTAACCCTAAGAAAAGTCCAGGTATTTCACCGCCATCATCAGTCAACATCCCAACACATGAGGAAGGTATGGCAATCTCAATAAAAAACGATTATCTAATTTAAATACCTAATGCATATAGTATGTACACTTGTGCCCAAAATTATTCGTACCCTAATGTCATTTCCACAAATTACAAAATATTTAAAAGTAAAGAAAACTCCACAAAAATTAAACATATCTCTATTTAAAATATTTTGGTGTCCAGCTCCATTGTCAGTTTGATAAATTTAGAATAAAAATACAATCCGAAGTGAATAATGTTTGGATTCAAGAGAAAAAATACAGAAGTTAAAAACCTAAATTTACAGGCAAAGGGCAGAGTAATAAAGTAAATGCCTATCTATTCACAATTTCTAGCAGATAAGAACTATAGGCTGCATTTAAACTAGGATTCTCTTTAAAAATATACAAGGATTCCAAAATATGCAGACTGGATACAACAGAACAAGAAGCCAAAGCCTGAAAGTCAGTGTCAGACACTGGAATGTTGCACTGTTTGGCATGAGTGCAAACAGCCAAAAGAGAAGGGCATGATAGTAACTGCCCAGTCCTATATATAACTTCTCCCTCTATGCTCAGCAACCCTAGAGTAAAGGTTGCATGACGTTATTCCAACATACGCAGGTGCACATTGTACACATCTAAATTTATAAACTAGGGACAATCACATGTGAGAAGAGGTACCTAAAAAATGAACCTATTTCAAAATTATTCTCCAGTAAGATATGAAGGTTGATGTCTTAAAAGTATTTCATTAATAAATCTTTCAAGTCTCTTGACTTAACTTTAGATGCATGGCCAAAGTATGGAAAAGAACAGTAAAAACGTTCCTATTATCAGGCTCTGGAACATCTTCACTGTATTGCTTAGACATGAATTTCTTAATTTGGTTAAACACCATGCTAGAAGGAAATCCATGCCAGAAGATATTGCGCATAAATTCAAATTCAGAATGCATGGCACGGAAAGTCAAGCAAACACAAAAGCCGTGGTGTTTGAAGCCCATTCAACTTGAATCTAAAAGAACAAAAGCTAGAAAAGCTGGTGCTTAGGCTGGTGAAAGTAGATTTTGGAAAACAGATGTTTTAAAGTAGTCATTAGATTTAGTAATTTTGCAGTTGAGGAAGGACAAACTATTGTTTGATTCAAGTTCCATTGTAAATTTAATAGAATAATATTGCAAGTTTAGGTAACCTAAGAAAAGTTAAACATAAGAGGGATGCTTGAAAATAAGAAAGATGTCATTGATGTATCTGTTATAAAATATTGGTTTGAAGTCAGGACAATTGGCCAGCCATGAAACCTCATGAGAACAAACGAAAATATTTGCAAAGGTTGCACCAAGAGGAAGGCCCATGCCCAAACCATCAATCTGTCTGTAAAACTTACCAGCAAATATGAAAATTGAAAGGAAGTATTTGAAAAATTTTGGTTCAAACCAATAACAGTATCATGAATATCTTTAAACAGAAAATTGAGACAGATCTCTATGGTTTCATAAAGAGCCATATTTATTAACAAAATTTCCATGTTGAAAGAGGCCATATTAAAGTCCTGAATGTTGGTAATATCTTTCAGGTGGCCAACAAACATAAGAATTGTCTACTGTGTAATGGTTAGTTGTAAGACAGTCTATGACTGGAACTAAAAACTTAGCTATTTAAAACTAGGAGTACTATATGTGGCAAAAATTGGTCAAAATTGAAACTTTGAGGCAAACTCAGACTTGTGAGTTTTAGGTAAGCCATATAAAATCCCAGGGCATTAACCAGAAGAGTAAAGTTTGAAGTTTCAGATGAGAAGGCAGACAAATCCTTGAGTTTTCACAGAAAACTATTGATTTTGTCCTCTATTTTGAAAATAGTTTTAGAGATCGGATCAGTAATTTCAACATATTTAGAAGGATCGGTGATGAGTGCGGTAAGGCTACTGTTATATCGAGTACGACCAACCAACACAGCGCCCCTGCCCTTGTCAGGTTTACAAATGATCAAATCTTTATTTTTGGCCAGGTTTTTCAATAAAAGCATGTCACTGCTTGAAATACAGAAGAAAAAATTTTAAATGACCTAAGCCATAAAAATGACGATAGGCTAAGCTCTGCAAGATCCCAAGAAACTCTCCATGGTTAGGAGTAGAAACATTTTTTATGCTGAGAGCTTGTCTTTCCAAGGCTAAAAAAATGATAAAAGTCAACTTAAAAACAGGCAGACAAAAATCAAGGCCAAAATAATAAAATAATAATAGAAAGATAAAAAATAATAGAAATGTTGTTTACTATTCTCCTCCATACTTTGCCATGCGTCCTAAGTCAAGTCAAGAGAATTAAAAGATTTATTTATGAAATACTGTTCAGATGTTAATCTTTGTATCTTACTGGTGAATAATTTAAAATAGGTTCATTTTTTAGGTACAAAGATATCCTCCTTTCATGCATGTCATTGTCCCTAGTTTATAAATTTAGTTGTGCATGATGTGCACCTGCATACGCTGGAAAGATGGCAAGCAACCTTTATTTTAGGGTTGCTGAGCATAGAGGGAGGAGATATAGGACTGGGCAGTTACTATTGCGCCCTCCTCATTTGGTTGTACACACTCACGCCAAACAGTGCAATGTTCCAGTGTATGGCACTCGCTTTGAGGTTTTAGCCTCTTGTTCTGGTGCTTCTGATCTGTGCATTTTGGAATCACTGTATATTTTTAAAGAGAAGCCTAGTTTAAATGCTGCCTACAGTTCTTATCCATCAGAAATTGTGAATGGATAGGTATTTCTTTATTATTCTGCCCTTTGCCTGTAAATTTAGGTTTTAACTTTTTTTTTTCTTTTGATTCCAAACTGATTAATTTTCTGACTGTATTTGTGTTCTATATTTATCGAACTGACAATGGAGCTGGTCTCCGAAACATTTTCAGTAGAGAAATGCTGAATTTTTGTGCAGTTTTCTTCACTGTTACATTTCTAGTGAATCTGCAATTCAAGCAATCTAGTGACATTATGACTTTAAGGTTTTAGCTTCTTGTTCTGTTGCATCTGATCTGCGTAATTTGGAATCCTTGAATATTTTTAAAGATAATCCTAGTTTAAATGCAGCCTTTTCTTCTTATCCACTAGAAATTGTGAATTGTTAGGTATTTACTTTATTACTCGGCCTTTGCCTGTAAATTTAGGTTTTTGTCTTCTTCTTTTTTTATTTTGAATCCAAACTTTATTAATTTTTGATTAAATTTGTGTTCTAGATTTATTGATCTGACAATGGAGCTGGACTTTTAAAACATTTTCAATAGAGATATGCTAAATTTCTCTGGAGTTTTCTTCACTTTTAAATTTCTAGTGAATTTGCAATTCAAGCAATCTAGTGACAACAAATTACAAAAATTAGACCAAAAATAATTATCTAAAATTTTAAAGGAGATGTAAAACATTTATAAACCATATAAGGGTATTTTGAACCCCAAAAATATTATTTTTTCAGTTTTGTAAAGAGATACAAAGGAAACATAAAACTGATTCATGACCAAATTTATTCATACCTTGAATTAATAGTAAATAGCATGGCCTTTACTCTTGATAACTTGTAAACACTTACGGTAAAGGTCAATAAGGTTCCTGCATGTATTGACGCAATGTTTTTCCATTTTGACTTTCATACTGTTCTAATTCTTTCAAATTTTTATATTGTCTCTTCTGCACCTCTATTTTCAGTACGCGCCACAAATTCTTAGTTGTATTGAGATCAGGACTTTTACTAGTCCATTCCATGACATTGATGTGATAATCATCAAACCACTTTTTGACTACTTTTGATATGTGCTTTTGTTCATTATGCTGCTGATGAATCCAATCAGGACCAAGAAAAAGTTTTTCTACATCCTGCATTTCATTTTTGATAATATCAAGATATTGTTCTCTTTTCATGATCCCATCAACTTTATTTAGACTTACAGGTCCCCTAGCAGAAAAAAACAACATAAGATTCCCATCCTCATGTTTACCTGTGGGGATTGTTTTCTTTGAATTATGCACCTCACTTTTTTTCTTCAAACTTAAGCAACCTGAATAATTCTAT